TGCTTTTGTTTTAATACAGAGAAGAAAACCATGGCACTGAATGAGCAAGTCATTTTCTCAAGGTTACATAGCTGAGAAATGGAATGGCTGAGTCTGGTTGCTGGGATGAGGCTAGATTAACATCTTTGATACTAGATAAAAACTAGAGTGATGGGTTCTTCTCCCTCAATCAATACTATTGCTATTATTATAGCAAAACTCTGTTTTGGTACCAGGAATTGAACTCAGAACCTTGTGCTTGCCCTGAGACACTGAGCTATATCCCCTGCTCTCTGGCCCTTAGCTTGTTTCCTGGATACCTCTGTCTTTCTATTGTTAAACACTTCTGTTCATGTAGAGTATTTAGAGGCATTCAGGGATCCTGTGTTTGTCCTTCATGAACAATTTAGGCAAGGAACTAAAATCTGTTCTCTAAAAGCTACTGCCTGGATAAGCCATAGATTTCTTTAACATGTGCTTGTCTAATTTTTCATTAGGAGGAATCATAGAAACACCAGTAAATAGACACTTCTTCAGGCTCCTGGGGCAGCATGTCATATGAATTCATGTGCTGGGAAAAGTTCATGGGTCAGGTCCACCGGGGGAGGTGGTGCTGGCTTCTCTGTCCTGAGACTCCTTCCCCGAAGATGGACTCCTCGTGTAAACAGACTTTATCATCAAAGGAAAAGCCTCTGTGAGCTGAAGGAAACACGTTTACAAACTCCAATTAGAACAAAATCACTTCACAGAGGAAAGCCACAGGGGATACCTAAAAGTAAAGTAAGAGAAGATGTGATCTTTAGATAAAGCCCTCCTGTTATGCTTTGCTAAGTTCTCTTGTGATATATTTAGAGGAAATAACGCGAATCTGTTCTCAGAATGTGCTGTTGTTTACCCAGGGCTATCTGCAAATATCTTCAACCATTTTCAAGTAAAAAGTTACAGGAAGAACAAACTGCTTTTTTTTTTATTTTTGTTGTTCATTAAATGCAGGAAAGAAAACACCTATTTTTCAGTGAGTATGAGGTTGACATTAACATTTAATTTGATTATACAGAACAGGAGAGGAAAGCTCATGCAGATAGAATACCAGTTCAAAGCCTTTACCATTTTGCCCCTAGTCCAGTCATGGGTTTTCCATTTGAATGTTTTTAAAGTCTGCTGAGATATAAAAGTGAAGAGATGATAACTAGTATGAGAAGGATAACTAGACAAAGTATTGTTTTAAGTTGTCCTCCAAAATAGATTTATTTTCTTTGACTATCCTAAAGACAAGGTTGCCAGTTAAATCACTGTAGATTTATCCTGGCATCTTCTTAACCACAAAAAGGCCTGATCCAGGAATGACTGAGAAAGTGTTGCCTTCCCAGGTAGAGAGAGACAGCCACCAGCAGGGCTTCTCCAAATACAGGGGTAGGACAGGGTGGGCTCAGGCATCCTACTAGACCTGACATGCATCAGTGGGGGACTTAGCACGAGGTCTACTCAGAACAGCTACTTCCAGTCCACTTAGTAAGTTTAAGTAGTCGGGGCACATTCTCCAGTTAATTCTGGTGGGAAGAAGCACTTATCATTCAGCAATGTTAGGATACAGTCTGGGCAGAATCTCGGTAATCATTTGGCCCAAGGGCCTGAGAACTTCTAGAAATTTTATACAAGTTTACTCACTTCATTTTTGTAAGCAAAGTCCCTTTAGCTATTATCAGATTCTCAAGGATAATCATGATTCCCAGAGCCTTAAGAGACAGTGACCTATGTTAATCTTCATTCTACGCATGTGACACAGAAGGAAAGTATTTACCCAAACTCAGAGAACCACTAGGTAGTTTTATTTTCCATTCGTGTAGTATTATGACTACTCTACCCATTCCAATCTAAACCTTCATGTACAACCATTTTTCTTGATATCATAAAATACAGCAGGTAGATGCCTTGAGCTAGTCAATTAGCAAATGGTTAATTATTATTGAGTATGCACACATCACAGAAGTTATGTTCTGGAAGGCTGCTAGAACATATAAACACAGCCCATTGTCATGGAGTTAACAGTCTAATAATACATCTAAGAATTAATGCAAGAAGAGTACCTCTAAGAACCAGTCAGAAACTGGTGCAAAATAGCAATTTTCAAGAGCTCTCTTTGGATGGCTACACGAACTGAAGTCCTGAAGAAAGCCTATGAGGGCCAAGGAGAATCTAAATTAAGATCTGACTATATTTGAATTTGGATAACTGAAAAGAAATTGAGAACCTTGAAGTGGAGGTCAGACTCACACAGTATCAGCTAGCTGTGTGGTGTGAACATAATGTGTCAGCAACTTGCAAATGCTAAGTGGAATGACCAAAGAGAGCCAGCGAGTATGGTATACCAAAGACAGGTATAACACAAAAGAACTAGCCACTCCTGTAGTAGGTAAATTAATTATGGGATCTTTCTGCATACACAAATATTCAGGGCTTCCCTTATTAACTTCTGTTTCGCTAGCTCACCACATTAACCAGTGACCTACTTTGTTCCTACCAACTGAACAAAATTCCCAGACCTGTTTATGATTTTTATGTTTGGTGTTAAAAGTGTTATTTAATGTTGTGTAAAACAGTGAAATGTGAATGCAAAAATGAGTGATAGCTGTGTTAATTGTATTTCAGAGACCTGCAAAAGCTAAACTACTTTAAAAAAAATGCCTCGGAACTAAGTGAAAGCAGCACAGTTGTGGAAGAATGAAGAGAGATGAACAAATTTTAGGATTCTGCACCCAGCTTTGTAAACCACTGTATGATTCTGGTTTGATTAAAAAAACCTATCAGTAGTAAGTACAGGTAAGATCTTCTAAGTGGATTTTTGCATGAATCCTAATGAGGCACCCCACTGGGTGAGTTCCCATCTAAAAAAAAAAAATACCTTAGCCCTACATTAAGAGATCGGCGAGGTGATGTGCATTTATAGGATTTATCATAAAGTACTGTTTAAGGTATTTTGTATCATTTTAAAAATATGATATCTGATTAACTGCTTTAAAAGATGTTGACTCCTACCAACAATATATATATAATATATATTATTGATTCCAACAGTATCAATCAAGTGAGATTAGTAAGATACATGAGTACTTGTTTGCAAAACCATGCAATGAAAATTAGGAAGGATAACTGTTGTTTTTCTAGATGTTCTGCATCTAAATAAAGATTGAAAATACATAATGAATAGTATTTGATAGTCGTTTCTAAGTTATTAGCCCACCTGGAGCATCTATGTGTCTCCAAGAAGCTCAAAGGGATAAACAGGCCAATAAGAATGTGGCAAGGACAATGCAGTCATTGAGAAGAAAAATCAGAGGGAGAAAAGGTCATCGAGATGCTGAAGGCTCTACTCTGCTCCCTTACCTTTAGTTGGAGAAGTCCCTGGAAAAGTCAAAAATGTTATAGAGGACCTCAGTAGGTTAAACTCAGAAAAAGGAGTCGAAACCATTTATAATTAAAATAGCCAGAATTTTAGGGAATGTAAGCGGTTGCCTGGGACATGACCTCCTAAAATAAGACTTGTGGGAGAATAAAAATTCAGAATGATCTCAGTCTATAGGGACACAGGGAAAAGCCAATCTCAATGAAATTTAACAGTACGTTTATAAATCTGATGTCAGATTTTAAAAAATCAATTGCATAGATGTAAGAAAGAAAACACTGGTATGGCAAGAACCTATATGGTGGTGTCATAAAACTAAACTTTAGAAGTAACCACAAGCTCAACCTGAGTTCTGTGG